AGGGTCAAAGTTTACTCAATGATGACGAATAGGGGGCGGGTCGAACCGCGCATATGTTCGCACGCCGTGGCGAACGCGAACATGCTATGTTCGCCAGGAACCGTTCGCCGGCGAACCGTTCGGTACATCACTAATGATAAACTGTTATATCTTCTCTATTTGTGCCTATGCGACAAACTATATATCATTTCTCATCAACATTTCTGGAACCATAAACCACCAATATTGATACATTTATATGAAGTCCTTCATTTAAGCATTATTTATAATTCTAGTTTAGTATCCATTTCAATGTTTTCTTTGAATGCGTTATATTCTTTTGCTCTTTCTATATTTCCTACTTGAATCTGAGTGAACAAGTACATTGCAATTTACTTACGACAGTTAGATGGTGTTCGCCAGTCATAAATTTTAATTCCTTGTTGCAAGCAGGTGATGGAATAGCTCTCAAGTGCTTGACAAACCATGACTTGGGCTCCATTATAAGTGCAGGCATCATAGAGGCAACTGTCAAAGTAGTTATTTGGAGAGATTTCTGATGTGCATTCTCTGAAAGGTCCATCATTTTTAAATAGGATACCACAGGAGTCTTCTCCAGAATATAGACGTTTCTTACTTTCCTCACAAGTTGGACAGTTCCCAGGACAAGAGTGCCAGCAGAAGGGGTCTCGGTCATAAACCGACCAGTGCTCTGCCCATTCATTAATTAATGACATCTGTGTACCATTGGATGACATCTGGTCATCATTCGGATCTTGGTTGAAATTTCCACAGAGACCTAATACTGCATTATGATAGCTGCTTGGGAGCATAACTTTAACATGCCAGTTATAATCAAAAGAGACCACCATGTGAAAATCAGTTTCAATTATTGCAGTCAAACCACTTCGAGTTATAGATATTTTCCCATATGCCAAGGTGGTCGGTAAATTTGTCAACAGGCCATTAACCTAAACCAGAAAAAAAATATAAAATATATATATTTATATAATTTGAAAGAGTGCATTTTTTCCTTAAAACTTTGACACCATGTCTGTGACTTTAGCCCAGTATTTCTAAGTATAGTCCTCATAGAACTCTAATAGTCTTGAATTTCCAGGCTTTACCAGTTAGAAGAATTAAACAATCACTCAATTAACAAATGTTTCTTGGTGTCTATAGTCACAGAGGATTGAATTAATGAATGCTAAAAGCACAATAAAAGTACAAACTATGTGAATTGTGGTTTATAATGTCTGTTAGTGTTTGCTTCTTATAAAGTCTCATTATCTCTATTTGTTTATGATTTGTTTTCATGGACACAGTTCTTATTTATGAATTCCTTTAACAGCATCATGGAGGTAACACTAAAACCTATCAATCTGACTCAATTTAATAAGCTTTCTAAAAGATTCAATACTGGTGGAAAAAAATCCCATAGGTTTTAATGGTGACTTCTGTAGATAAATCCCTAAGACATTAATACCGTCTTTCCCCGAAAACAAGCCCTAGTGCTCCTTTATGTGTATGAGAGGACATGTGTAAATGTATGAGAGGGACCTGTGTACGTGTCCGAGAGGGACCTGTGTACGTGTCCGAGAGGGACCTGTGTACGTGTATGAGAGGGAATTGTGTACGTGTTTGAAAGGGACCTGTGTAAGTGTATGAGAGGGACCTGTGTACGTGTATGAGAGGACCTGTTTTATGCAAGTATAAGGATTATCAGGTGTATATATTTTTTATTTACCCGTTGATTGTTTGTGCTGCCAGAACCAAATAATGTCTGATTTCATAGCTCAGCCTGCAATTTTTGTTTATAAAATATTTTACCAGGAAAGATGCGTTGAGATTTCCCTTGTTTTCAAGTATGTCCTGGGTCCACAAATCATTGCATTGTTACATTAGGGTACAATAAAATACAAACCCAATATTAATACACAATATATACAAAATTTAACATAGAACAGGTAGGAAATATATAATCAACCATGACACGTGTATTCTGTTTTGAGGTATGTAGAGAGGGATCTCTTAAAGGACTTTAGGCTTGGGGAAGATTTTAAATTGTGCGGGAGGTCATTCCACAATTGTGGTGCTCTGTAGGAGAAGGAGGATCGGGCCGCTTTCTTTTTGTATTGTGGTAGACTAAATAAAGTGCTGGTACTGAACCAGAGGTTATATGAAGTGGGAACAGCCAGGGAGAGCATTCTGCTCAGGTAGGGTGGGAGCTTCCCAGAAAAGCTCTTAAACACAAGGCTAGAAAGATGAAGGGTGCGTCTGGTGTTATGGACATAATAATAGCTTTACATAATATTTGCCTATTTACTCTGCATAACTATAATCAACATTATTCAGTATTTACTCAAAATGGCCGCTAGAAGTTACCGCTCCCGTTGACTAAACACCTCATGTAACAAGATGGCGCTGGAATCTGGAGGAGAAATTCATAATGACAGTGATATCACACCCGGTAGGATGTACATTAGATGAACCACTTAACACCTAACCAATTATTGATGTATTTTCTCTGTTATCTATAATTATGCATATGATGTATTCTTGCTTTATAAAGGGCATGCTGGCCCCCTGAAATAAACATTCCTGAAGTCTTTCATCAACCTGAAACTTGTGTCTGGTGTGAATTACTCTAGGAGCGTGCACGCATAAAATAGCTATAATTTGGACAGGGGCTGATATATAAATGATCAAACACTAGATTTGATCCACGACACTGGAATCCAGCAACAACCAGTTTAGTTCTTTTAGCATGTCACAATGGTGGGTCCTGTAATTACATTGTAGCAAAAATCGGCAGAACGAGTTATACAATGTGTTGAGTTTATTAAGGTGGGATTTCGATGCAGATGCATATACTACATCCCCATAATCAATGATTGGCATCAGCATTTGCTGTACAATATTTTCCTTTACTGTAGGGCTAAGGCAGGATTTATTTCTGTACAGGGCACCTAGTTTTGGATAAAGTTTAGATGCAAGTTTTTCTATGTGGAGGCCAAAAGATAGATTGGGGTCTAACAACAATTTGAAAGAGTGGACTGCGGTCAGTGTGCTATTTGAATTTGTTCTAATGGATAGGTGTGAATTGTGTGATTTGTGTAATTTAGGTACTGTTCCAAAGATCATTGTGACAGTTTTGTCAGTGTTTAGGAAATGTTTGTTTTTTGCAATCCACGTTTTTACCTCTGTGAACTGGTCTTGGAGCACAGCCTGAAGCTGGGGTAGATTGGATTTGCTTGCATAGATTACTAGGTACATTAGGCAGATCATTTATAAAATGTGTGGATAGCAGGGGGCTGAGAATGGATCCTTGGGGGAACACCACATGTGACTGGGAGAGGAAGGGAGTCGCTGTCAGAAATGGACACATATTGTGAGCGATCCAATACATATGATCGAAACCAGGTTAGCGGACAAACACCAATACTTGAGTTTTTGAGTTTGTGCAGTAGAATGTCACGGTCTACTGTGTCAAGGGCCTTTGCAAAATCAAGGAAAATAGCTCCAGTTAGGTATCCTCGTTCCATGCCAGTTTGGATGTCATTGCAAACTTTTAAGAGGGCAGTTGTAGTGAAGTGATTTGGGCGAAAACCTGATTGATCAGGGGTCAGATAGTTAGATTATTGGTAATACTCAATGTAGTTCCACGCATTTGACGACCAAACACAGCTGGGTGTTCGTGTACAAAGATGGCCGGAGCCACGTGTTCGTTCATACAAACGGCGGCCACCCATCCCACCATTTAGAATCTTGCTGTTTTAAGGTGTTACAATATTCAATTGGAGACACACGACTCCTCTGGGTGGTCTCCCTGTTCTGTAGTTGGTTCGACTGACGAACAATATATCCATATTCTCTTTGTGGAATAGAAATAGTCAAACCAACTTAGTCTCTTATACAAGGAAGTGGCTAGTTTTTCCACACTCACATAGTTGCATATGGATGCTTTTTCTAAGATTTTTGATAATACTGGGAGCAATGATATTGTGCGATAGTTAGAAACCAAAGTAGTGTCACCACTTTTATGGATAGGCACTACTCTCTGTCTTCCAAAGTTTGGGTATGTATCCAGACACCAAGAATTTGTTAATTAGGGTTGTGATGAGTTTAGCAATTGCCGGCGCACTGAGCTTTAACAGCATTGCTGGAATTTGATCAGGTCCAGACTGATTTTTCATTTTTAGATTATTAAGGTGTTTTTTAATGACACTGATAGGTACAGGTCTAAAAAGGAACTTGTCTGTATTGGGTCTTTGCAAATTTAGTGGGGCCTGATCCACATTTGTAGTTCCAGGATGCGTGTCATTTATTAGCTTGGCAATCAGGGTAGTGGAGCATCCGACAAAATAATTGTTAAAGGCATTTGTTACAAGTAAGGGAAGTTGTAGGGTTTGGTTATCCACTTTGACAGTGGAGGGTTAGGAGTGGATTGGGGGAGTATGTAATTTATTTATGACTTTACAAACGTTTCTAGGGTTTGATAAGTTATTGTTCAGATTTTCACAGCAATATTGGGCATTAGCTAATTTAGTTTCTTTTGTGCATATATTTCTCCATTGTCTATATGCACAGTGCTCGTTCATAGAGCCAGTACGCTTGAACGTTGACCACAATGAGTCCCGAAACTGGTACATTTGGATGAGTTCAGCTGTGCCCTGTAACGGATCACCTGGCACCCCGACTGGGTACCTCAGTTGAAGGATGCTCCTAGCGCTTCGAGGGCTCCAAGCACTCCACCAGAAACCATAACCACCGCAGACCCCACAAACCGCTGCAGCTTGGTTGGGGTCTCGCAGTCTGCTACCCACCCTGGACCTACGACAAGGCTCCAGGTTCGAGTGGGTGAAGCTCTCTTTCCCCAGAGAGTGAAGCAGAACAGGAACAGTAACAAGCTCTTACAAGAGCTTAGGGATTATTCAAGGGAGTATGAAGATTATAGCATTCCTTTGTAGCAGTTTCCCCCAATAATAGACAGGACTCTAAATTGAGGTTGAAGTAGAACTCCTTTAATGAGCACAAAGGCATTTCTTTTATACAGTTTTCCCCAGAAGGTTACCACCCATGTGGACGTCTTCCTCGAAGGACTTCCCCAACAGGCCAGGGCTAGTGTAGTTCTCCTTCTCCGGCTGGATGCCCTCTGCCATCCACGTCTCTGGCTTGACGGTGCACCACCATAGTACCCGATATGAGGCATCCAGGCTCAGTTCCCTCTCCACTAGGTACTCCAGGTGTCTTACCCGCTCCGTCACGGGTTGTTTCCCCAGAAGCGCCATCCGCCAGGCCATTTGTTCCTGCAAACGGTACTCGATACTAGGAAGGCTCTCCCTCTGTTGATACTGAACTTCCTCCAGGGTATCGTACCATAGTTCTTTCTGGGTGGCATCTCTCCATTCCAGGTCACTCTCTTCCTCGGAGGTGATCGCTGCCCCATGTTCTCAAATCCCGCTTTAGACAGGGCTGGTCTATCTTCTCCTCTATCCTGGAGATAAATGGCTTAAGTGTCTGTGGTAACTTAATTATCTCCAGGTACAGGAAATATCTCTAAGTCAAAAACTGTTACAAAAATCACATAAAAATAAATAACTCTTATAATACAATGTTTAACCTATATGTCCAATATATCCCCAGATAGCTTGGATCTGAGCGCTCAATATGTACAATGTTAAAAGTGCCCTATACTACAGGGCTGATGAGAGATTGAGGAGGGACAAAGCAGCCAGTTTCAACTGGTCTGGCAGTGTCCCTGGGACAACACCCTGCTGGAGAACAATAGGACAGGAAAAAGGGGAGAGGGAAGAGGCACATTTTCCCATGGAAGTCACTTTTTAGCCTGTCTTTTTGAAGGGCCCATAGTCTTGGGGCAGGAGGCTGGCAAGTAGTCCCCTCCAAAAACTCATGAAAACTCCCTAAAAAACAGTAATTTTATTTACCGTAAATTTCTTTTTTCTTAGTATAGTGGCAGTACTTATTGTGACGAGACCAATCTCGCCACATTGCATTGGAGAAGCCTGGTTGCTCGCCTGCTGCCTTTGGACTATGGCCCCCTTTTAAAAGACTTTATTTTTCCATGCAGAAAAGCTGTATTCGTGCTTTTCTGCCGGTTGTTCGGTAGTTTCAATCTACCGAACAACCGTACGAATGACTGGACCACCTGGGAGCTGGAGTGTGCCGGCAATTAACCTCCCTGAAGCTGCGGTTAACCGCAGCTTAATTGATGAACGCTGGGTGGCCGCCGTTCGTATCCCGAACACGAGGTCGCGGCCATTTTAAACCATACGAATGAACAGCGGTGTTCGCCTCTATTTTCATGGAACTAAAATCGGACACAGTTTTGCGCGAACACCGCTGAAGCCGCCGACCTCCCTTCTTGTTCGGTGAAAGCACACGAATGACCCGGTGTTCGGTATTTTTGTGTGAATGTCTTATACCCCAGATAGGAATCCCATGGAGCCCATTCGTATGAAACTGACTGTAAAGACTTTGGCTCCATGGCGATTGAACTGTATTCGTGTAGTCTGAGTGCCATTCACCTAATAATGTGCACTCAGACCTGAGCTATCTGGGGATGTGTTACATGCCTGTGTTTAATGTAGTAAATGTTACTTTGTGCATTTTAAAGTATAATGCTGTTTTTGTGTTCCCACGTGTGTAATGGAGTTTTGCCTTTGTCTTGGGAGATAATTGAGTTACTTCCCAATTATCTCCCAGGGCAGAGGGGAGGAAGCCAGGATGCATTGTGGGAATATACTGTGACTGTGTGTCCTTTTTGTATACTTGTCTGTCCCTTGTCACAGTCTCCCATTTGGTCCCCTAGGGGAGTGTCCACCAGGTGGGAGACCTGCATAAAAGCTGGGCAGGTAGCCCTCATTAAACAGACCACTGCTTGACCCTCAACACGGAGCCTTGTCTCGTCTTTGGGGGGATTTACTGTATGCTGCTAAGGACTGATTGCCAGGAGTGTAAGCCGCTTGGAAGCTTTTCCTGTTCGCCTGCTAGCAGCTATTCGTATGGTTCCTGTTCGTTTATTTGAAGTGCTACCTTATTCCCTTGTATGCCGTTCGGGAGTTTGGAGCATTCACTTATTGGCGGTTCGTGAGTTTTGGTGATTATACCGTAGCTGTGCCTGTCTCTGAAAAGGGGGATTATCGTCTAAGCGGTTTTTTCCCCTTTTGTGCAAAACGGTCCGTTACAATTGGTGGCAACGGTGGGATGGCATACTAGTGCGAGGAGAAGCAGCTCGGAGACACCGGTAACGTGTGGAGTTGTGCAGCGTCCTTATCTTCAGCAACATAATGGAACCAGCAGTGGCTACAGCAAGCATGGCGTATAGCTACTCCGTACTAGAGTTTGGCACGATGGTAGGGTTGCACCTGAAGTTTTACGGACCCAATCCAGAGGAGAAATACGTGCGGTTCGTGTGGGACATGGTGACCCGGAACCTACAACACAGGGCGTTGAGGGAAGGCCAGTGGGCACGTTGGGAGAAACTCCAGCCACAGGTAGAGTGGGATGAGGAAGTGTCACGGTTCTCACCTGATAGACAGACGGCAAGACGTGGTCGCTCTTGGAGTTCCCAACAGGGGACTTGAACCGGGGATCTTCTCAGTCCTGGTCCTGCTTTCTACCTCTGAACCACAGCAGCTATTTACAGTGAAGACTGATTCCAGTCCTGTTCATCCTGACATGGCTACTACTCTGGGGGCTGCACCTTGACTTGGCTGTGTTTCACCTGACTCTGATCAGTCATCAGCAGGGTATTTAAACCCAGCCTCGCCCTGTGCTCAGTGTCAAGTCTTTGATCCTGTTTGTTCTAGTGTTCCTGTTTCATCGCTTCGCATTATTGACCCCGGCTTCCTGACTCGTTTATTCTGACTTCTGGCATCCCTTGACTTCGGCTACTCCTCGTTGTTCCTGTCCTCTGGCATCCTTTGACCTCGGCTATCCCTCGACCATCCTGCTGGTTCAGTCCTTGCCTGTCCTGCGTATTGGTACTGCATCCTGCACAGCCCCCGTGCACAGACCCACAGGCCAGGTGAATTCTTACCTGACCACCTCGGCCTGTGGCTATCTGCAAGGGTGAGCATCATATCTGCGCTACAGACTCCCAACTCAGGTAAGACCCTGACATAAGACTTGACCATTATGGAGTCCGCAGAGATGTGCTCACCCTCGACCCAGCGTGTGTCCAGCCTGGCCCAGACTGTTTCGGAGCTGCAGCAAGAAATTTTATTCCTTAAAGGCGCAGTACATCCAGCCCCGGAACCAGCTTTTCCTGAACCGTTTGTCATCATGCCCGACCGATTTGATGGTAGCCGCACATCCTTTCAGTCTTTCAAGATGGATTGTGAGGTGTTGTTTTCTTTAAAGCCTCAAACATATGCCACAGATTTTATCAAGGTCCGAGCGGCTATCAACCTGTTGTCTGGACGCATCAAAGTTTGGGCTCACCAAATGTTGCAGACGAAGAGTCCTGTCCTGGTCAGCTGGGAATCCTTTAGTACTGCTATGGACTCACAATGTAAGACCACTGTGGCCAAGTCAGCTCCACGTACTAAAAAATCTCAGATTCTTCCTAACCAAGTAACCGAGTACCACCACTACGCCCCAGAGATGCCTCCTTATGTTCCAGCTCCCAGGAAAACTCCAGAGGTATCCGGTGTTCCACTTGACCCTGTGGAACCTATGCAATTAGGACTCGTCCACTGCAAAGTGACACCTAAGGAAAGAGACCGAAGGAGAAGCTATGGCCTGTGTTACTACTGTGGAGAAAAAGGGCATTTCATCACGCTTTGTCCTGTTCGCCCTCCTAGACCTCCAGCTCTCCGACTTGGTACTAGTTTCCTTCGCCCTGTGTACACCGCATACCAGCCTAAAAAGCCAAATAGAAGCCGTTGTGCTTGCACATGCTTGGCTTCCGCGAGAAAACCTCCATCCCCTGCTCCAGAGCCTCCTGCATCTACTCCCGAAGTTGCTTCCTGTGATACCACCACTACTTCCTGCCCGCCCGAAGAGGTTTTACCTGTGGATTGTGCCGTTGCTTCTAATGGCACTATAGTCCGTAAAGAAAACCTTGAAATGTTCGAAAAAGCATTGTTAGCTGCGAACACTGCTTCTGCCAAAGTTTTGGAAGTGCTTGCCACCTGTACCCGGAACCTAAAAGACCTGGACAATTCTCCAGCCGTACCAGAAGCTGGTACTGCGGACTCCCAAGCTGTAAAGGGAATCCTTGCTGGGGAGTTTGACTATGGGGACTCACTGGATTCAGATAGTGACCCTGGAGAGGTGTACTATGCTGACAATGAACCCATTCACGCCCGGAGGTCGTTTTTAAAGGGGGGGGTACTGTCACGGTTCTCACCTGATAGACAGACGGCAAGACGTGGTCGCTCTTGGAGTTCCCAACAGGGGACTTGAACCGGGGATCTTCTCAGTCCTGGTCCTGCTTTCTACCTCTGAGCCACAGCAGCTATTTACAGTGAAGACTGATTCCAGTCCTGTTCATCCTGACATGGCTACTACTCTGGGGGCTGCACCTTGACTTGGCTGTGTTTCACCTGACTCTGATCAGTCATCAGCAGGGTATTTAAACCCAGCCTCGCCCTGTGCTCAGTGTCAAGTCTTTGATCCTGTTTGTTCTAGTGTTCCTGTTTCATCGCTTCGCATTATTGACCCCGGCTTCCTGACTCGTTTATTCTGACTTCTGGCATCCCTTGACTTCGGCTACTCCTCGTTGTTCCTGTCCTCTGGCATCCTTTGACCTCGGCTATCCCTCGACCATCCTGCTGGTTCAGTCCTTGCCTGTCCTGCGTATTGGTACTGCATCCTGCACAGCCCCCGTGCACAGACCCACAGGCCAGGTGAATTCTTACCTGACCACCTCGGCCTGTGGCTATCTGCAAGGGTGAGCATCATATCTGCGCTACAGACTCCCAACTCAGGTAAGACCCTGACAGGAAGAAACCGAGGTGGCCGGTGGAGATGGGACCGAGGTCTCTCTACCGGCCCTACAGGGATGCTGGGCACCCGGCCCAGATCCCCAGCGGCAGAGGTAGTTGTTCCTGCCCCCCAGCAGCAGAATGATATGCCGGGAAGGCAGTGTGAAGTCCAGGGAGAGGAGAGCAGCGTCCTCCCTCCCCAGCGGCAGGCTGAGTTACAGGGGGCAGAGGTAGTTGTTCCTGCCCCCCAGCAGCAGAGTGATATGCCGGGAAGGCAGTGTAAAGTGCAGGGAGAGGAGAGCAGCGTCCTCCCTCCCCAGCGGCAGGCTGAGTTACAGGGGGCAGAGGTAGTTGTTCCTGCCCCCCAGCAGCCAAGTGATATGCCGGGAAGGCAGTGTGAAGTGCAGGGAGAGGAGAGCAGTGTCCTCCCTCCCCAGCGGCAGCGTGATTTTTGGGGAATTGGGAGCCCAGTCTCCATTCCCCAGCGGCAGTATGATTTTTGGGAATTGGGAGCCCAGTCTCCATTCCCCAGCGGCAGCACAGATTATTGGGAATTGGGAGCCCCGTCTCCATTCCCCAGCGGCAGAGTGTCCTACCGGGAATAGAGAGCCCAGTCTCCTTTCCCCAGCAGCAGGACTCTGTATTGGGAGCAGAGACAGTCGGTCTCCCTCCCCCGCAGCTGGAAGTATGTATGGGAGAGGAGCTTGTTACCCCCTCTCCCCAGCGGCAGCTTAATGTACAAAGGGGAGACAGTAAGCCCCACAACGGTGCAGATGGGACCGTGGTCTCTACACTGCCAGCACAGGGGGTAGGGACGGTCGGTCCTGCCCCCCAGCGACAGGGCTGTTTAGCCAAAGGGGAGACAGTCGGTCTCCCCCTCCAGCAGCAGAGATGGGTAACCAAAGGGGAGACGGTCGGTTCCCAGCAGCAGGACTGTGCATCTAAAGGGGAGACAGGCAGTCTCCAGCAGCAGCAGCAGAGCGGTGTATTTAAAGGGGAGACAGTCGGTCTCCCCCTCCAACAACCAGGCTTCCACCAGGCTACCCTCCCAGTAGCGCTGGCAACAGGGCAGAGTGCCGCTGGTCTCTGCCCACGCAGCAACCCACCAAGTCAGCGTACCCGTACCCAGCACAGCCGTGGTGAGGCACCTGGACATGGACAAGCTTCTTCTCTACCCAGGTGTAGTAACCATTTATTGTGGGTGGGCTGTGCTGTTGATTATTTGTTGTGGGTGGGCTGCTGGACTAACAAGGGCACTGACCGGCAGGAGGTCAGATACCCTGTTAGTCTGTTTGGAAAAGGGGAGAGATGTGACGAGACCAATCTCGCCACATTGCATTGGAGAAGCCTGGTTGCTCGCCTGCTGCCTTTGGACTATGGCCCCCTTTTAAAAGACTTTATTTTTCCATGCAGAAAAGCTGTATTCGTGCTTTTCTGCCGGTTGTTCGGTAGTTTCAATCTACCGAACAACCGTACGAATGACTGGACCACCTGGGAGCTGGAGTGTGCCGGCAATTAACCTCCCTGAAGCTGCGGTTAACCGCAGCTTAATTGATGAACGCTGGGTGGCCGCCGTTCGTATCCCGAACACGAGGTCGCGGCCATTTTAAACCATACGAATGAACAGCGGTGTTCGCCTCTATTTTCATGGAACTAAAATCGGACACAGTTTTGCGCGAACACCGCTGAAGCCGCCGACCTCCCTTCTTGTTCGGTGAAAGCACACGAATGACCCGGTGTTCGGTATTTTTGTGTGAATGTCTTATACCCCAGATAGGAATCCCATGGAGCCCATTCGTATGAAACTGACTGTAAAGACTTTGGCTCCATGGCGATTGAACTGTATTCGTGTAGTCTGAGTGCCATTCACCTAATAATGTGCACTCAGACCTGAGCTATCTGGGGATGTGTTACATGCCTGTGTTTAATGTAGTAAATGTTACTTTGTGCATTTTAAAGTATAATGCTGTTTTGTGTTCCCACGTGTGTAATGGAGTTTTGCCTTTGTCTTGGGAGATAATTGAGTTACTTCCCAATTATCTCCCAGGGCAGAGGGGAGGAAGCCAGGATGCATTGTGGGAATATACTGTGACTGTGTGTCCTTTTTGTATACTTGTCTGTCCCTTGTCACAGTCTCCCATTTGGTCCCCTAGGGGAGTGTCCACCAGGTGGGAGACCTGCATAAAAGCTGGGCAGGTAGCCCTCATTAAACAGACCACTGCTTGACCCTCAACACGGAGCCTTGTCTCGTCTTTGGGGGGATTTACTGAATGCTGATAGAGACTGATTGCTAGGAGTGTAAGCCGCTTGGAAGCTTTTCCTATTCGTCTGCTAGCAGCTATTCGTATGGTTCCTGTTCGTTTATTTGAAGTGCTACCTTATTCCCTTGTATGCCGTTCGGGAGTTTGATGCATTCACTTATTGGCGGTTCGTGAGTTTTGGTGATTATACCGTAGCTGTGCCTGTCTCTGAAAAGAGGGATTATCGTCTAAGCGGTTTTTTCCCCTTTTGTGCAAAACGGTCCGTTACACTTATAAATGGGATGTTCCTTCCGGTTTTGGACAAGAAGCTCCCCCTTCTTTGAAGATAATTGTTGTGCTCCGCCTGCTGCCTCCATATAACCTGTGAGCCAGAGTACAACTCCAGTAATACAAAAGAACCAAACAGAGACTGAATAATGCAAAAGTTATTTAATCCATATAAAGTGGAGGAAAAGCCAGTACTGCCACCATACTAAGAAAAAAGGAATTTACGGTAAGTAAAATTACTGTTTTTCCTCTCGTATAGTGGCAGTACTTACAAGTGGGATATAGCAAGATCCCTGCAAACAAAACAAAAGGGTGGGGACTCCGAAGGTCACTGCCTGTAGCACCTTAAACCCAAAAGCAGCTTCAGAGGATGAGAATGTGTCCAGCCTATAATGTTTAATAAAAGTATGTAATGACGACCAAGTATCTGCTTTGTAGATATCTTCAGGTGAGGCAGCTGCTCTTTCAGACCAGGAGGTTGCCATAGCCCTAGTGGAATGAGCCTTTACAGCCTTTAGATTGATAAGCCAACCTGATGGTATTGGTCAGCCATCTGGCTAAAGATGGTCTGGAGACAGCACAACCTTGAAAGGAGACAAAGAGATGATCTGAGGTCCTAAACCCCTGAGTCTTCTGAAGGTAGACCTTCAGGGTTCTTCTAACATCAAGGAGATGCCACTTTCTTTCAAGATCAGATGCAGGAGACTGGCAAAAGGCGGGCAGAATAATAGGTTGGTTCACAGAAGCACTTGAGATAACCTGGAGTAAAAAAGAAGGCCTGGGGGGCAGGACAACTTTATCTTGATGAAAAACAGTGAACTCAGGAGAGGAAGATAGAGCCCGGATCTCACCTATCCTCCTAGCTGAGGTGATAGCCACCAGGAATGCCATCTTGAAGGTAAGCAGTTTAATGGGAACCTCCAGTAATGGTTCAAACGGTGGTTCACAAAGGGCTTGAAGCACCAAGGACAAATCCCAGGTAGGGAAAGAGACCAACTTGGGAGGTTTCTTCAGCCATATGGGCTTAACAAACCATTGGATAAGCAAGTCTGAGGGATTGTGACGAACCAGGAAGTGACTTATAGCTGAAATCTGGCCCTTGAGAGTAGAGACCCCTAGGCCGGCTTCAAACCCAACCTGCAAAAAAGAAAGAATTTCTGGGACTGATGCTTTGGCAGGATCCGAACCTCGAACAGAGAACCAGGCTCTGAACTTCATTCAAACCCTGAAATAGATTCTTGTTGTGGACAAGCGGACTGAAGACAGCAGAACGTCACATAAGCGGTCTGAAAGACCATGTCCTTGAGGGATCAACCTTGCAGCAACCATGTCGTCAGGAGGAACATTTCCAGTGTTTCTACAGGAAGAGTCACACGCTCTATCATGTTGGAAGAGATTGGGAGAGACCAACGTGAGATGGTCATGTTTTCCACTTCTGAAAACCAACTCCTGTTTGGCCAGAAGGACAGGACAGCTAGAATTCTTGCCTTCTCCCATCTTATCTTCTGAAAAATTCGTGGAATAAGAGCTAATGGAGGGAAAACATAAGCCATGTCAAAGTTCTAAGTAATCGATAGACCATCTAAAATATCTGGGTAATCTCGTGCTTGGAGGGAAGCAAATCTCTGCAGTTTTCTGTTTCTCCTTGTGGCCATCAGGTCTATATCCGGCCTGCAAAAGCGGGTAACCAGCTCCAAGAAAACTTGGTTTGATAGTGACCAGTCTGTCTGAGACCAATGACTCATGCTGAGGTTGTCTGCAATAATGTTTAGAGACCCTCTGATTTGGGTAGATGAGATTGCGAGAAGTTTTGCTTGGGCCCAAGACATGATGCAATAGCAGAGGTCTTGTAGAGCTTTCACCCTTGTGCCTCCTTGGTGATTTAAATAAGCCACTGTAAGATGTGTGTGACAGACAGAATATTCTCCATACGAAACCTTTGATACAGTATGCAGGTGTTGACATGTTTTAGTTCTAGGATAGGCCGAAAGGATTCGTCTGGTTTTTGAACCAGGAACAGGTAGGAGTACACTCCCTGAAATTCCCATCGTTTGGGTACCTTCTTTACTATATCTTTCCTTAAAAGGATAAGGGTTTCTGTTAGGAGTGTCTCTGATTTCTTTCTTGATGGATATCTTGACAGTAGGAAGGATGGTTGTGGCATTGCGGAAAACTTGATTCTGTAACCTTCTGAAACTGTTCTTAGAATCCACCTGTTTGATATACTCTTTTCCCATTCGTGGGCGAAGAACCAAAGGCGTCTTCCTACTCTTTTGGCGTCAACATTTTCTTTTTTTGTCTTGCCTGTTGGAATCCTGTCTAGACCACTGACTGCTGTTTTCACCATGTCTTTGAAATCTGCGAAAACGCCCCTGGTAACGAAAAGAACGCTGACCCTTAAACTGATATATTTCGATGTCTTAATTCCAGAGGTAGAGCTTTCTTTGTTTCTGACATTTGTCTAATAATGTCTTCCAAAGGAGTGCCTCTCAAATGGTAATTCACACAAGGCTGCCTTAGAAGCTGAATCAGCTGTCCATGTTCGTAGCCATAGCGCTCTTCTGGCCACTGATGACAAACCCATAATTCTTGCTGATAAACGAAGAATCTTATCAGAGGCATCTGAAGGAAATTTGTTAGATCATTTCTGGAGGAACATCAGCAGGGCAGGGTCGGTATCGGACTTTCCCATAAGAGACTCTTCCAGGGCTTGGAGCCAAATGTTCTGTGCCCTGAGAACCGCTGAACCTGCTATTTCGGCTCTGCAATGGTAGCCTGCGGCTTGGAAGATTCTTCTACATGAAGTTTCGGCTCGTTTGTTCTTTGGGTGTTTAAGTCCTGAGACCTCGCCAATGGGTATAGTGATCTTCTTTGATAGCTGGGCTATCTGAATATTTACCTTGGGAAGATTCTTCCATTTCTCTTCAGACTGTAGTTTGAACAGAAGTTAAAAATGTTTTAAAATAAATGCACGTCTTTCAGGATTCTTCCATTCTCTATGAAGGAGATCGATTATCTTAGGGGGCATTTGGAAACCTTTAACCTTACTCTTGGTAGGTTCTGGTTCTCGTACAGCTGTCGCCACTTCTTTAATACATTTTTTGAGCTCTTCTGGTGGAAAACCCTCTTCCACACCTGAAACGAGGCTGGAAATATCAGAAGGTGATGAGGAAGAGCATTCTCCTGAAGAAATATCAGACAGAGAAGGAGATCTATTTCTCCTACGTTTCGTAGGCTGCTTCTCCTGAATAGCCGGTTCTTTATTTACAGCATCTTTAAAAGATTCAAATGTCTGGGACAAGTTTTCCTGAAACCAGCACAGGAAGAATGACATATCAGTCTGCTTGGCTTTTTCTAGCAATTCCGTAGAGCACTGATTGCATGTCGTTTTGCTACATCCATCAGGTAGAGGCACAGCACATTCCAGAGAACATAAGTGCTTAGATTTGCTTGTGGATTTTTTAGGAACAGATGCTGACATCTTGTCTTTATCTGTCTTATCCGGAGATATAGGACTGGACATATCTGGGAAAAAGGAAAAAACACCAGTAATTATATATAGGAGCATGCAATAGAAATAGGTGACAAAAGGAGAGTTTTAAGAGTTAAATCTCACCTCAAACCATCTTAGAACCGTGTAGGAGGGCTGGTGACACGGAGAACCAGGACTGTACACCCACCCTTGGGGTCAGAAAGGTCCTGCACAGCTTTATATGCCACCAATTTTTGAATTTGGTGCCAAAAAACGTAAACACCGTTTTGCGCATGCGCAGTAGAGCGTTTCGGTGCTCGGTGGAATGCAAGGCCTCCCGGGCGTGCGGTACTAAGTCAGTGTCTTCACCATTTTTTGAGGTGGGGGTAGGAGGGCTATTTTTTTATAACTCTCCACCAGCATTCAGCAGATAAGTTACAGCAAGAGAGCAGGCCATGGTGTATGATAATTTGTTTTCCAGTTTGAGGGGTGTGCTTATGGCAGTAGTGAGAAAAGGGTTATAACAGATTAATAAATATATTTTCAGATTCCCTGCTACAAAGCAAGATTCATTAGAAATAAATATGCAAATTATAAATGTTGTGTAGGATTTACAATTGTAAATAGGTGAAGTTAAAGCAAACATTGGGTGTGCATATTATTTACAAAACACTGTATTCATACCAGAATTACAATGAGTAAATATCTGATTCGCATATCTTGTGGAAATGTAATAATGTACTTTGGATTTTCCCAATCCATACAGAATTCAGACTAAATAACCCTGTCAATGTCTCACGCATGACTCAACTGTGCATGGTTCTGGAACTCCCAATACCCAGACATGAAGAGAAGTGGCAAAATCATGTTATTGTGTAAAATGTCTCCTTACAATACGATTAAATAATAAATCAGATTACTATGTCCATGAAATCTACTCACCCGTACTTTCCCAAACTCCATAGTCTGGATTGAGATCACAAGGTCGTACAACGCAATAGTCACCATCCTGACAAAAGACACTGCTCGATCTCCACGATTATCATTTTTGGCTTCCACTCGAAAAGGTACTAAGTCAGTGTCTTCACCAGTGGATTTGGCTAGAGTATAGGTACAGGTTCCTTGAAAATCAAATGTTAGACCATCAAGAGTTTTAAAATGGGGATCACCCCAAGCCCAACAAGTAGATGTGTAGTCTGGAACACAAATAGCTTTTCCGTCTTGGAGTTTGCATGTTTCCTTCAATCGACAGTGTTTAGACTTGCATGGATCTATAATTTGGAAAGATATTTTTGTTACACAGTAACAGTGAGATTCCCTTCCAATAATACGTGAGTACCCCGCATGGCCACCATACGTTGAGCCTGGACCCAGGCTCTTGGAGGCACCTCCAGCATGTCCCTGATTTAGTGCGTTCGAGGTGTCTCAGTCGAGCCGGGACCATGTACCAGCGGTATAGAACCTTCCTACTAGTTTCAATATGCAATGCGTTTAGTGTGAGCCCTTTGTGGGCCAGTAAGATTTGAGACCGATCTGTGTCTGCTATGCTGTGTTTGAGGTATTTTTCCCACACCACCATGAACCCCATAATTTTGTTTATAATACAAAATCTTTTGATTCATTTTAACAAATAGGAAGGTTTAGTTTTGTTCCATGATTCGGAGCTCGGATTCACAAGTATTTGATCTCCAAATCGTTTGCAGATTAAACAATTTGTTTGCAGCAAATGTACATTTCTAGTAAACAGCAAATAACGGTTTCACTGAAAAAGCCTCTGCAACAATATGTAATATCACCCTACTAAAGCAGGACTCGGACACATTGCTAAACATGCTGCACTCTAAGCATCGGGGAGCAAGGTATCTCCATGCATGGGAGCTCATATTCTTACTGAAAAGGAACGAGTGTTCCCAAACTTTTAAACCCTCTTTTAAATATACAGCTATAAAGGATGTACATTTTTATTTAAAAAAATGTTTGTTAGTCTGAATTTTCTACATTTTTGCAGTAGAAAGATTGAGATTTCCTTTTTTATAATTTACCCAGACATTAATACGATTATACACAATTCTCACCAATGTTGATACATGCTCTGATGCCGTCCAGAATTTGACATTTCTCATCTTCTGAGCAGGCAAAATGATGGCAGCTCAAGCCCAGGGTGGGATGACAGTTGCACTGATAGCTACAGTCCTCGTTCAGCACGGTTTCATTCAGCTGTGGAAAGAAATGGTCAGACATAACATGAGGGGGCTATTGACTGAATAGAAAGTCACAAAACGGAGTCCTAAAGTACCTAGGGGATTTTCTTTTTTAACAAGAATTCTTTTTCTGAGGGTTTCTTCTTCCTGGTTGGATATTTTGGCCTGGCTGTCGTTCTCTCCCATTGTGTGGTGCATACAAGAAGGTATAACTACACCAAACTGAGATTATTCATCAAATGTGAATTATAGAAACCTAACTAGAGAGATTACATTTCTAGACAAGAATAGCCACATTGGACAAATTCTTTGATTCGGCCATGTTTTCAGCTATTTTGAATAAAACCTCCCAGGAATAAGCCTTGCCCTGTCAGTCCCTGATGAATCCCAATTTAGTGGATTACCCAGACTGTGTCAATTCTAAAATTTGGGGGTAACACCTCAGCCATCATCCTTCCGCCCCCATATTAATAGCATGAACTGTGCTGTATGCTCTACAGCTATAACAGCTAACCTTTGCACTGCAGATCTGTGAACGTCATATCCCGTAATTCTTTCCCAAGGGGCTTGCAAACATCTGAGTGTCAGGGTTGGAACTCTACCCTATTTTTCCAACAAATGTGAACGTTCCCATGTTTGCATATATACAGACGCAACATTTATATATCACTTTTGTATTTGATGTTTTAAGTCACGTTAAAACTTGTAAAATAATTTCTGCATCTTAAAATAAAAAAATATTTTCTATTTCAGTCCTATGTCTAAACACCATTGTTAAATCTTTGGACGTGTAACATGTTCCACTCATATCTATTCAGCTGAGTATCTTGGCAGATGTGGGGCACACTGGCAGCACAATCCAATCAGCTGATAAATAGGAGGATATACTACTTTTAGATAAAATGAAACCCGGCTGCTTTGCCTTCTAAGGAGTACATGTGAAAACATGGATTGAGTGAGTGAAGTCCCCCGTGTCCTTCAGATCGATGTGAGTATGTTACATGTCATTAACCCCTTAAGGACCAAACTTCTGGAATAAAAGGGAATCATGACATGTCACACATGTCATGTGTCCTTAAGGGGTTAAACGTGTTCCACCTCATCATACCAAATCTAGATCTCGTCTTCTGTTATTTAGCAATCGGTGGCATTTTATAAAGGTATAGTTGGTGCACAGTAGATTTTTGACAGGACATTTACTATTTGTGTCTTATTAAAAAGAAAACTCTAATGTTGTCAGATATTGTTGTCTTGCTGTTAAAGTTAAACAAAACAAAAATAACACATACATTGACGGGTTGCATACATATTAGTTATTATTAAAGGACGCAATAGTCACCAAAACAACATTGGTTTAATGAAGCAGTTTTGGTGTATAGATCATGCCACTCCAGTTTCACTGTTCAATCCTTGCCATTTAAAAGTTAAATCACTTTAGTTTCTGTCCATGCAGGCCTAGTCACACCACCCCTGGCTCTGACTGACACAGCCTGCATGAAAAATAAAATTGGTTTCACTTTCAATCAGATGTAACTTACTTTAAACGTTTTTATCTTCTGCTCTGTAAATTGAACTTTAATCACACACTGGGTACTCCTGCAGGGTCTAGCAAGCTATTAACAGTGCATTTAAAAAAAATAATATTATATAGTATTCAGGCAGGCTGTGTAAGTCACATGCAGGGGTGTGTGGCTATGGCTGCATAAACAAATAGATATAACTCCTAAATTGCAGAGAGTTGAGCAGTGAGACTGCAGGGGCATGTTCTATACACAAATCTATACACAAAAACTGCGACATTAAGCTACAGTTGTTTTGGTAACTATAGTGTCCCTTTAAATTTGTGAGAATTTGGGATATGTCTTTGCCAGCTTGCAAACGTGGAACTGAATAATTCTTACAACTCTTCTTGGCAAACTCTGCCACATTGTATGGGAGTGTAATGTGTTTGGTATGCTACATAAATTAATTCACAAAAAACTTCAAAAAACATAAACTTTTATACCTAACAGGTGCAATAATTAAAAATTCAATAGAGAAAAAGTCAATATCTTACGAGACCAGCAGGTGGTGGTAAAAGAATCCTAAATCTATTGTTTGACAGATAGATACATACTGATACAATAAAACAATACAATCATACTAAAGTAATCAATCAAAAAAGTATCATGAATAGTTATATGAAGAAAACATTTACCTTTTATTTATCTAAAGACAAAAAAGTTACTGGACAGCCTAGAGGGGCAATACGGCCCCTTTACCACGTCTGCTAAAGTAGAAACCCTTTCTCGCTTTTTTGTGAGTGTTAATAAAATGCTCATTATGTAGAAATAGATAATATAGATAATAATTTGCATGTTCATGTTATGTGTTTCCTTATCTGTACCTTGTAATACCGCCCATTTCCAAAACAGCCACATTCTTCTACAGGTTTGCAATCTGTACCATCGAATAAGTAGCCAGTGTCGCATTCACAGCCCTCAGTGCAGGTCTTGGAGCAGCCATACGTGTCAGTGAGGGTGGCACAACTGGTGGAACAGAGCTCCGGGCATTCACTGTAATGACTATGAATGGGGCAGGCCATAGCTGTAAATAAAGAGGAGATTACAGGATAGAAATTGTAGAAAGCAGACCGGATCAGGACTCTGCAAGGGAATTCTGCAAGACTTTCAAAATGAATAAAAGCCATATTGGCATCTTTGTAAATCCTACATCTAATTGATGTAATTTCAACATTGAGAGACTCATTGAGAAGTTAAATCTGGCAGTTGTGTCGTAGCACTAAGAACAAGCTTGGTATTCAGTATCCCAGGGCTGTACATTACTCTTAGTTACTGTATTTAACTCACTGGCGGTTTTACTTCCCCCCCCCCACTATTGGATAGAAAGTATTAGAATGTGTACCATTCGTCACACCTACCGCAGAAGTCTTCTGTCCTCCATTGAATGCTTGGACCGCCAGCATCTTTACATGCAGCTGCATAGGTCGCTACATTATCACACAATATGCTGGTGTCCCCATCACTCTGGCACAGGTCATAAATGCAGTCCTTTATATATTGACTGTAACTGATGACAGAATGGCATTTGCCAAATATAGCTGAGCTCATGATGCCGCAGTAATTCTCTCTAGAAAATATTTCAGTTTTAGGCCCTTCGCATGTGGGGCAAGGGTTATCGCTGGCACCACATCCTACGGAGCAGGAATTGCTGGGGTCTGACACTTTCCATTTTTCCCCAAAAGTATCAATTTCGTTTGCCGTCCAACCCATGTCATCGATAGCATTTCCATTATAGTTACCGCACAGCCCACAGGTCCTGCCCTTGTAAGTGTTCGGGACAGACACTGTGACACCATAAATAAGATCAAAGGTCACCTGTATACCATAATCACTCTTAACGATGACACCCTGACCGTAATATTCAGCTCGGACTTTTCCAGAAAGTAAAGTAACCGGCAATCTGTAATCTGTTCCATTTACCTGCCAATCAAGAACACAAACTGAATTATATGGCAAATAAAATGAAGCAACAAAAAAGGTAAAAAGATTAAAAGTTTGAGGCTTTGCAAAAAAAATAAAATACATTTTAAAAGTGAGTATTTTTTTCTGTTTTATTATTTTATAGTGGTTGTTTATATATATATATATATATATATATTCACATGTATGATTATTACTATTATTATCAGTTATACAATGTTTTTATAATAAATAGTTGGTTCTAGCCTGGAATGTCCATGTAAATTATAGTTTTACCATCTTGCAGGCTTCTCTTACAGCTGTTTTTTCACACTTTAGGCCAGGCTTCCCCAAACTCCGGCCCTCCAGATGTTGCTGAACTACAACTACCATGATTCTCAGCCTATTTCATTCATAGAGTCATGGAAGTTGTAGCTCAGCAACATCTGGAGGGCCAGAGTTTGTTGAAGCCTGCTCTAGGCTGAACTACAATAACATTATGTTATTTAAAGTGACACCCAAAGCACCAAAACAACTTCAGTGTAATGAAGCAGTTTTGTTGAATAGATCATGACCTTGCAGTCGCACTGCTCAATTTGCTGCCATTTAGGAGTTCAATAACTTTTGTTTCTGTTTATGCAGCCCTAGACACATATCCCCTGACTGTGACTGATACGGTCTGCATGGAAAATGGTTCTATTTTCAATCCAATCTTACAGCACAGTGTGTTTACTTTACATACTCTTTTAATTCAGATTTACTCATACATATAACTCTGGTGCATGCTCTAGCAAGCAAATCACACAGCAGGAGATAATACGACATAAAGTATATGCAATGTGCTGTAAAAATGAAACTTTTTTTATTCACAGAGACTGTCTGATTGACAGCCAGGATAGGTGTGGCTAGAACTGCATAAAAAACACATTCAGACTAATATGTTTATTGTTAAAAGTGAGAATACAAAGTCAATTTGAAATCTAAGGCCAAAGTAGTTAAACTGGAATTATATCTGGATCAGATCATTTTTTCCGGTTTACTATTTTTACCTTGAAATCCACTTTGAATTCTCACTTTTCCTGCAAATTTTAGATCAAAATAGTTCAAGTGGGAGCACACGTGACTTGCAGTTTTTTTTTTATTTACCTATTTTGGCCCTAAATTTTATCTGAGTTTACTTTGAACTCCTACTTTAGTAAATAACTCTGAAACCTCGAAAAGTGAAGGCAATCAACATGGAAACCAGTAGAATATTAAACGTCCCTTTCAGAACTTTACTTTGTTACCTGATTACGGTTTGTGCGTATGTGATATGTTGTTACATATTTTTCTAGATATTTCTAAATAACAACATAATTACCTGGACAGTTCCTTTTTGCTTTCGTGTCAGGATAATAGTATACCCATAGATTTCCACAGTTACGAGTCTGACCACTGCAGCACTGCTTACGAACTTTTCATGCTGCGCGATGACCTTGAAGTCATCTCCACTTGTCCTCACTCCAGTCATACCATTGTCACAGCTCTGAGCCATTACATAAGAGCACAGCCCCCGGAAGGCATAGGTGCGCCCATCAAAGTTGTTATAGTGAAGATTTCCACGTGCAGTACAGATGGCTAAACCTTTGGGGTAACAGCCCCATTTACCATTTTCCAAGCCACAATCTTCATTGGGAGAACAAGTGTTTGGCGAGCAGATCATATCACCACCATTACTGCAGGTACATCTCTTCGAACAACTCTCCTCTTCATAAACAGTCTCTCCGAGAGTGTAATAGGCTCCGTTATAAACACAGCCACATTGTGAGAGGGGGGTGCACAATGCTCCGCTCAGCACAAAGCCATTGTCACAGACACAGCCCTCACTACAGGTAGAGTCACAGCCAGCTAGGGTTATGAGGCCATTGCAGGTGAGAGGACAGTCACTCGCACACTCTTCATAGTGACTGTTAGGAGGACAGGATAATGCTGGAAGGGACAGTAGAGATACAACATTAATCCCAGTATATGTTTTCCTTTTTAAAGGAACATTGTCACAAAACAGTTCACATTCATTGAAATAATGTCCTCAGGTGTATTCTTAAACCAGGGCAAAAGGGAATTACAAAAAGCTGGCGAGGGAATTGTAATTTTAGGTCAGAATAATTATATTACAAAATTTACAAAGTAGCCATTTTCCAGATAACTGTTTTGGGCTAAACTCTTTAGTGATTTAGTTAAAGAACTCTTGCGCTGTTGCAGCAATGTTGGTATTATATATTTGTCACATAATATTTACCCTACTTGCATTGGGACACATTATTCTCGTCGTATTTTGAACATTTGCTAAATATAATCCTTTCCTTCAGTTTTTTAATATAACATTAAAATTAATCATTTTCAACTGGGAGTTATTCTGGGGCAAGTGTGAAATGTGGAGCAAAAAGCAGGGGCATCCCATTGGTTTCCATGGAAACGTATTATACTCTGTCCCAGAATTGCTCCACTTTTGCCTTCATGAATATAGAACTGGAAAATTGTGTTCTAAACACAAGAAACAAATATTATCAGGGAATACATTAAAGATATGCTAAACAATGTCAAAACATCTTAAAATAAGCAGGTCTACATTATATACACTGCAGTCTAATGTTTACACTACAATGATTAATATAAGAAAATTCAGGAGATTTTTATTTGTTTAGTTTTTAAATGAAAATTCACCAACTGTTTGCCATATGGATATTACTGTGACTTTTTTAACCCCAAATAGAAATTATGGATACACATTAAAGGAAGTGCAGTCCACATCGATAGTGTCAAGGATAGATATAGGCATTCTATACATTAACCATTGGCTTTACATTCTCATTATCCATCGACATTTCTTAATATGCAAGAACTCACAGCAGAACGTGTCACTGTGCCAGGGTTGGACGGTGCCACCAGCTACCTTGCATGCCGTGGTGTAAGCAGACAGAGCTGAGCAGAGGGAGTTCTGGGTGTTCGGTAAAATACAGGAGACATAAGTACAGCTCTTGAAATAATTTTCAGGATTCACTAACGTATGACATTTATGGAACGGGCCTCGACTGTCCAGTAAAATGCCACATTCGGTGCCTTTATCTCTCTGTGTCTGTTCCTTTTCTGCCAATCCAGCACATTGTGGTCTATCTACATCTTCACATTGTGCATCTTGTTTCCAGTTATTGCAAAATGCAGCGGGTGATGCTCGGGATGTTCTTTCATTTGTTACATTGTTATCTTTGTTCTGATCGAAATTACCACAAAGACCACCAACCGCCCTAGTATAAGTGCTCGGAAGGGTAACCATGACATTCCATGACCAGTCATATAACACAGAAAGTCCATAGTCAGTTTTGATTACCATGGAATTAGGGTTCTGATACATGGTAATACCTCCATCCTTGTAGCTGTAGGGCAGATTCTGCATCAAACCATTGACCTGCAGAGAGAGACAAGAAATGGGAAAATATACAATGGATCCCCTTTTCCAATTAACAGCCATTTAAGCAATTAATATATATTTTACCAATAACATAATGTATTTATCCATTCAACAAGATGAAGTGGTCTGGGTGCCTATGGTGTCCCTTTAATTGACAGTTGAGAGGAGGGAAAATGTTGAATTTAGTTTTATTCTGCCAGCACAGTGTGTAGATTAGTTTCAAAGTTCTTTAACCCCTTAAGGACCGCGGACATTGGAGGTACGTCAGTAAAAAACGGTATGAGGTACGTCCGCGGTAAATTTGAGCGCTGGCAGTGATCGTGATCACTTCCAGCCGCTCTATGGGTATTACAAGATGTCTCGATAATGAGGCATTGTAGAATATCCCCCCACACTGCCAGATACCTGAGTGATGGCTCACCCCATAGCAATCACTTCCGGGTTGCCGCATGTGGCGCCCGGCAATGTAGAGCAGAACATCGGATGCCATCAGGCAGACTTCCGATGCTCTGCCTGTACTGAGTGCCTCGAGGGGTCAGGGCACTTAATTAAAACATTTTTTTTTTTTAATTAACCCCTACCCTCCCTCCCCATGTACTTACCATTCACTGCCGTATCCCGCTGGCGATCGGTCAGACAGTCAGTCCCACCTCTCCAATTCTATCTATCTATATCTTATATATAACTTCATACTAAGTGTATTATTTTATTAATATATACACCCTGTAACAAATTATTATGCAAATTATATTTTTCTCATTTACCAAAATAATTTATGTAAATAACAGTCAGCATAATTCTCATGTTATCAACTATTAAGAGTACAATTCAACTTTTAACAGTATTTTTTTTTTTAAACATAAAAAACTTACACTGCACTGTTCCAAATTATTACGCACAGTAAGTTTCAATACACTAAAGGTTGAAATTTTTCATTTGTTGTGTTTGCAGCATATTTACTGAAATCAAAAGCTATTTCAATCAAACTTATAACAACATTTTAACTTTTTAAACATTTTAACAGGTCACGTTAAATTTTAACATAGGGCCCCTTATTTGATAGCAGCTTCACAAGTCTTGCACCCATTGAACTTGTGAGTATTTGGAGAGTTTCTGCTTGAATATGTTTGCAAGATGTCAGAATAGCCTCCCAGAGCTGCTGTTTGGATGTAAACTGCCTCCCACCCTCATAGATCTTTTGCTTGAGGATGCTCCAAAGGTTCTCAATAGGATTGAGGTCAGGGGAGGCTGGAGGCCACACCATGGCTTTCTCTCCTTTTATCCCCATAGCAGCCATTGATGCAGAGGTATTGTCATGCATGAAGATGATTTTATGACGGAAAGCATAGTTCTTCCTTCTGTACCAGGGAAGAAAGTGGTCAGTCAGAAACTTCACATACTTTGCAGAGGTCATCTTTACACCTTCGGGGACCCTAAAGGGGACAACCAGCTCTCTTCACATGATTCTGGCCCAAAACATGACTCCACCACCGCCTTGCTGACGTCGTAGCCTTGTTGGAACAGGGTGTCCATCCAACCATCCACTACTCCATCCATCTGGACCCTCCAGGGTTGCACTGCACTCATCTGTTTGAAAATTAGTCTTCATGTATTTTTCTGCCCAATGCAGCCGTTTGATGTCCGTGGGACTCCAGAGGCACCAGCTGCTTCAAATATCTGTTTGCTGCTATGTAAATGTATTTTAGCAGCTGCTCTCTTGATCCAATGCATGGATCTGGCAGAAATCTTCCTCAATGTGCCTTCATCTGCATGAACCCATCTGTGCTCTGAATCAGCCACAAATCTCTTAATAGTGCGATTATCACGCTTAAGTTTCATGAAATATCTAATGTTTTCATAACTTGTCCAAGGCATTGAACTATTTCACTCTTTTCGGCAGCAGAAAGATCTTTTTCTTCCACATATTGCATGAAAATGGTGCTCTGCTTAATAATGTGGAACACCCTCCTTTAGTAGTTTTTCCTTAAATTGGGCTCACCTGACAATCTAATTATCACAGGTGTCCGAGATTGTTTTCAGTGATCAAAAGAGCCCTGAGACACAATGCCATCCATGAGTTAAACTGTAAAACAAAATATTTAAACCTTTGTGACACTTAAATAGAATTTGCATTATAATTTGGAACAGGGTGTATATACATATGAATATAAAAATACACTTAGTGTAAAATTACACACTTATATATAATAACTGTATATATACATATATATATATAAATAAATATTAAAAATAAAGAAAAAACTGTAAATATAATTATCTATCTGTATATATACCTCAAAATACACTTAGAATGAAATTACATATATATCTATGTATATCTCCTTAACGACTGTGGACGTACTATGTATGTCCGACAAAAAACGGTCGTTAAGGACCGCGGATGTACCTAGTACGTCCACGGCAAATAGGAGCCCTGGACTTACTTGTACCGGTGATCCATGGCAATCATGGTCAGAGGGGGAACTGTCAGAGACCCCAGCAGTCCCCCTGCTGCAATAGGACTCTAGGACCTGCCAGCTGTGAGGCAGTCCCCCAGGCTGCTAAAAAAGTAAAAAATAAAATATATTAAACATATACAGGTGGTCCTCATTTAGCGACCTACCTGATTTACGATGGCTCAGACTTACGACAAGGCATAAGTGCGAGCCGTCGTGGGGATTCCATGAACATAGACAAACACGCCAGAACAGGGAATCCCTCAAATCTATGTTCGGGCAAACTTCCCCGAACATATGCTAACATACCAGAGCAGGGAATCCCTTAACTCCTCACTTACCGATAGATTAGTTCTACGACCTGGTCGTAGAAACGGACCCCTGTCGGTAAGTGAGGAGTGTCTATTATATATGTATAATATATTATAAAATAATTAATTCGTTTTATAATACATTATGCATATATATGATTTCATTATAAGTGTACTTTGAGTATTATTATTAATATTATTATGATGATGTTATTTACATAGCGCAAACAAATTTCACAGCGCTTTACAGTGGGTGGACGAACAAACATGTAATTGTAACCAGACAAGTTGGACACACAGGAAATACACTTATAATGAAGTCATATATATGTAAAATATACAATGCTTTAATATATTATACATACATATAGGAAATAAAAGTATGTGTGTGTATATATATATATATATATATGTATATATATATATATATTTGTGTTCGGTGCTATTCTTGTAACATTAGAATGTGTGTATTGTTTGATGTATTATATAGATAGGAACAAGTCGGTTGAAGTGTGCCAAAACCGACATATGCGGTAGGTCTGAAATAAAGTGGGCCCACACTGAATATTAAATAAAAATTTTAAAAAATAAAAGAGTTGAGGGGGTGGTGGGTGGGGCCTGCCGAACGTCTGATTTTCACGGTGATGCAGGTAAGGGGGAAGTGCCTTAAGTAGGATCAACAAGCTCCTCCCACAACTCCAGGCAAAGCCTTTATATTTGTGTTCGGTGCTATTCTTGCAACGTTAGCGTGTGTATTGTTCGGTGTATTATATAGGTAGGAACAAGTCGGTTGAAGTGTGCCGAAACCGACGTATGCGGTAGGCCTGTAATAAAGTGGGCAAAAATTAACAGTATCTTGCCAAATAAATATTTATTCAATACATGAAACATAGTGCAAAGAAAATACCTCAAGATGACAGTTTAACACAGGTTGAGGTATGTACAGAGCAAATTCAGATGACTTCCAGCGGCCCAGGTGAGAACCCTTCGATGAGCTGTACCTCCTCTGGCCAACCATCACAGAGCCACTCATTGCCACATATGGCTGCAAAACCTGTGGATGCTGCAGCATCCATCCAAATTACAGGAGAATGAATAGACAATTGTAGTAGAAACATACTTCTGCCATTCCATTGTAACAAGAATTTACGCCACATTAATAAATCAGCAATAGCCTGGGCATCCAAGCAATTACGGCTAAAGTCATTAGGCAATTGTGGAAGAAGGCAATGGAGTCTTGAACTAAAGGCTCTACCTTGCGGAATAATTCTTATTGCAAAATTTAGTGACCCCAACAGAGATTGCAATTCCTTCCGATTGCATGTCCTACTATGCAGAAAATTGTTTATGGTCTGCAGGATACTATCAATTTTCCCTAAGGGGAGGCTAGCTTCCTTGCTCACGGAATAAAGAAGGATACCCAAAAAATTTACCAACGTGTCAGGGCCTTTGTTTTCTTGGGAGAAACTGGCACCCCCAGAAATCTTCCTCAATGTGCCTTTATCTGCATGAACACGTCTGTGCTCTGAATCATGAAAAAACGAGATGGCCTTGGTTAGATCACTGGGGGGAGAGGAGTTATTTTCCACAAACAGAAAGTAATCTAAGTAGTGTATTACCGCATGGCATCTGCAATTGTTCAACATAAGCCAACACAAAGTCTCAGCGAACGTATCTAATATTTTTGGGCTGTTTTTCGATCCGAAAGTGAGCCTTGTTAAAAAAAATAAAAAAAAAAAAAAATAGTATAAACCTTTCCATTTCAGACCATGCAGATGCCATAGAGACAGACGTATGGAAAGTAATTTAAATGCATTGATGATGTCTGTTTTGCTCAGCCAAGCTCCTACACCTGCCGTGATGATGGTGGGTATAGCGTTGTCTATGTTGGCGTATTAAAGGGAAAATTCCTCGGATTGAATTAATGACTTATGGCTTTGTATGGCCAAGGAGTGAGGTGCAGAAATATCTAAAATGAGTCTGTGTTTCCCTATGGACTTCCCGGTAACTAATCCTATAGGATTGGTTCTCCAATTGGAAGATTGAGGGCGCGTGAAAAAGTCCCAAAAAAAGTCTTCATAAAAGAGCATTAACTGTTTCCATGTCAGAAAATGCCGATTGTAAATTGTTGTATTAGTAAATGCCCGCAGGAATATGCACCAGACCTGTATGAAATCCCTCAGAAAAACCATTAATCAGGAAATCCACTAGATGTTTGGATGGGTGAGAAGCTAAGGCGTGAGCCAAAGAGCCAACATTTTTGGATTTCAGATAAGGTTTAGCATGGTTTTTATTAGGACACATGGACTTGGCATGAGCCCTAAAACAATGTGAACACACATGCAACAATCTGCAGGCACTTTATATGCATGTACCTACATTAAAATTATTGCACACCTGCGACTTTCTAAGGTAAATAGGACGACTGAGTTTGTCCTTGCCTGATCTGTCTGTCCTTGTATGTGTCTCCAGGAAAGCCCCAGGTGTGGACTCGGGCAAGATGGGACAATAGTCTGAGGCATGTGAGGTGGAAGCACAAATTTAGACCAGCAAAGTGTCAGCAAAATAGCTCAGTATCCATGCGGCTCCAGTCAGTTTATGTTGTACTGAGCCAAAATTGCAAACGCCCTTGCCGAAAAAGACCGGTGGTAATCATAAAAAGATGAGCCACTGTATTTATTTCCCAAGTCCACCAGCTTGTGCAAATAGAGGTCAAGTTCCTCTTCTCTATGCGGATATACCGAGCATATAACATCCCGACATATACCAAATGCAATGACAAAATCGGGTATAGACAGTTTCTTATTAAGTCTAGGGTCCCTGGCTTTTAACACCACAGAAATATCACCATAAGCATAAGTGAGGTTCTCAATAACATCGTTTGAATCAATAAGCAGTGCAACAAGATTAACATCCTTCCCCTCCAGCATGTCTTTCTTAATGTTTGCTGGAACCATGTGGACTGGATTAATAATATGGGTTTCAGAACCCGATGGTAAGAAATTACCTGTTTCTAATAGTGGATCATCGGGGAGTACAGTAGCTGAGAGCATAGTTAACATAATAGGAAAGCTCTGAGCCTTTATCCTATCAAGTCTCTCATTGACCTTCCCCATAGATGCTGCTAGTGAGGCAACCATGGCATGAAGGTCTGAGTTGCCTGGACCACTTGTCCCTTCTCCCGCTCCTGTGTTGTCGGTGTTTGTTCACATTCATTTGAACAGTTCAGCTTCTCTGGCAGTAGCAGGAAAAAGGGACACTGCATCTACAAAGCTCCGCAGTAATACGAGGTCTGGCCCATGCTCGTATAGCAGTAGGGCTACCAATGTCGTCTTTTTGTGAAAGTGACAAGGACCTGTCCGGAGTACTGGGCAGAGACAAATTGTCTGCATCTTCAGGTAGCTGAGACATACTAAAAGAAAAATATTCAAAACATAATCAGCAACTGCACCATATTGGTTACTGGCTGGCTATTTAGTGCCAAGTGGCAAAACAATTTCCTAGGTGTGGTAACAGGAGGGGCCCTACTAGATGCCAAGTGGCTTGAGAGGCTCTATCGATTGGCACGAGGGAATATGTTGCCACCGGACGTTGTGGTGGGGTGTTGGTCTCTCAGTGACAACTAAAAGCATAAGATAGAAAGGGAGTGACAAGGGAGGCCCTCTCTATGCAACCGTGCGAGGCGGCTAACTATGATTTGGCCCGAGGGGCGAATGTCCTCAAGTGTGGAGGAAAGGGGTTGGCCTCACGGGACCACTGTGACTGAGATGAAGAAGCCAGAAAATTCTATACTAGTGGCAGACTAACCTTGATGAGCCAGTAGCCAGTAACACTCAACTCATAATCTTAGGGGTGGGGTTGGAGGGGCGGGGGGTTAGGCAAAACATACCTGACACCCACTTGCGTCTTGGTTAGGTCAGAAAATGTGTTCACAACCCAACACAGAACCTGAGACTTTCACCACAGCTAAAGTGGAAGGAGAGGTTTAGACCTAATGATAGCAGAAAGAAGACTATGTGTTATAATGAGTAACAAGGGACTCCCCCTTATGTTAAGAATAAAACCCCTTACCCTTCCACCTTACTCACTGGAAAGTGATATTAGAGGTTTGATTGAGCAAACACAGGTAATATAAGCCAACCTGATATTGTAAAGTAAGCATACATAAATAAGTGTGGGAATCCCCATTAATACTAGTCTTAAAGGAACACTATAGTCCCCTAAATTACTTTAGCTAAATAAAGCAGTTTTAGTGTATAGATCACTCCCCTGCAATTTCACTGCTCAATTCACTGTCATTTAGGAGTTAAATCACTTTGTTTCTGTTTATGCAGCCCTAGCCACACCTCCCCTGGCTATGATTGACAGAGCCTGCATGGAAAAAAAAACTGGTTTCACTTTCAAACAGATGTAATTTACCTTAAATAATTGTATCTCAATCTCTAAATTGAACTTTAATCACATACAGGAGGCTCTTGCAGGGTCTAGCAAGCTATTAACATAGCAGGGGATAAGAAAATCTTAATTAAACAGAACTTGCAATAAAGAAAGCCTAAATAGGGCTCTCTTTACAGGAAGTGTTTATGGAAGGCTGTGCAAGTCACATGCAGGGAGGTGTGACTAGGGTTCATAAACAAAGGGATTTAACTCCTAAATGGCAGAGGATTGAGCAGTGAGGCTGCAGGGGCATGTTCTATACACCAAAACTGCTTCATTAAGCTAAAGTTGTTCAGGTGACTATAGTGTCCCTTTAATACAAAATGAAGTGAGTAGCGTATTTGATAATTGACCAGTATACAACCTTCTTAAACCAAACTTTATATATAATTATGAATATGCATGATATGCCCACAGATCATACCCAAGACAAAATAGTTAATGCCAGTACTGACACGTTCCTGGGCAATATAACATAAAGTGGATAAAAGAGGCTGTTCAGGGGGGGCGGAGCCTAGCTGCCAAGCAGAGTGGACGTGCTGAAACCCAGCTCCTGCATTATCTGCCTGATTTTGGGGAAAATACCCAGTAAAACTGGCACAGAACTACTCTAACGGGCATAACTGAATTGGGATCCTCGGGGGGCAACTCTGGACACCCAAATCGACTAGCTAATCACCCGAGATCCCTAGCTGCGGTGACCGAGGCCTACAGGATGGCTGGCAGAGGGGAGACGGCCGCTCTCCTTTCCACCTACCTGCTCCACGACCACTTCGACCCTCATTCATCCTGCCCGCCCCCCCCCCCGGGACCGGTGGGGGATATCCCGGTCCTCGCCGCAAGCCCAGTCCGAGCCTATACACAGCGTGTGGACACCAGGGCCGGCGACACGTGGCCCATTGAAAATGGCGGCGGAGTACTCGCAGCAACTCAGCTTGAAGCAGCTAAACAGAGCTCCGACTGCGGCACAGACCTCATGCAGCGTCTGGATGCACTGTTCAACGACTTCTGGGAGAAGCTCCAGCGGCGCGCACAGCGCACCAAGACAAAACGACAGGACCCCATGGACCCAAGAGAGGGGAGCTATGGGCGGCCGGGCAAGAGGGGAATTCCCTTGGGCGCAACACGAGACCAAAAGCTGACACTCACCCACCCCGGCCCACCCAGGCTGCAGGCCAAGAGGGCCTTGACCCGAAGGCGTCGGCCACATAGGCGGAAACGCAAGCGGCAATCAACATACAGACCTCCCGCCACCCCCATGAGGGGGAGACACTCGGGCAACGTGTGCCACCGAGTCTCAGGCCAGAAGACGCAGGCCTGCACACCAGCTTGGGGCAAGAGGGACACCCCCACCACCGGCCGAGCATCAGCACCTCCTCTGGACCAACCGGAGAGCCTCAGCCGCATTCCCACAGAAGGAATAGGATAAATAGTGACTTACCACAAACTCTCTTATGACCCGCATACGCTACCCCACGGGTCCAGATCCAAGTGCCTTGCCGGTGACCGCTGCATACCAGTTTGATTTCATGTGCTGACAAATGCTTTTTGCCAACCATAGTATACCTTACTCACGCTTGTTTATATTAGCCTCTATTAGTTAAGCATAGGGCGCTAGATGTTTAATCATATCACTGAAGAATCACACAGTTAATGATATTGCATCAGCATGAATAGACCTTGAGATTGGTGATCTTATGTTCGTTACACTCATAGTAAACCATGAAAGATAGAATATTACTCAGATTTAATGCTTAGTCAGCCTGTTACGTAAGGATAACTTCCAAGCAACTTACTGTATAACTGTGCCCATGCCCTGATAAAACTGGGCATCTACTGCTAAAAGGTGATTTTTGTATTGCACTGAGTGCTCAAGGCCTAGCCTGTAAGCCACGTGAAGCCTAGGAGTACTACTTTATCTGTACAACTACTGATATACATATATGCATGACCTGTACTGTTCTCAGCCTAGGTTTTTCGGCAAGCAACATAGAAATACTCCTAGTTATGTCACATCCTCATACAAAATGACTCTGAACTAGCTATCTTACCTTCTTATAGCTTAAAGTATGATTGACTAAGCATGTTTATATTTAAAAAAAAAAATTGTGCTTGATAAACATATGTCCCGCATGTAACGCAGAGGAATAGCCTGAGGACTGCTTTTGGGGCACCTCAAGCCTGCCTGTATCATTTTCATGCACTGCAAAAATAAAGAATTAAAAAAAAGAGGCTGTTCAAACACACTTTATAACAATTAAAATAACTAATTACGAAATTCAGCTCTTATCTGATGGTGTAAAAGTTATCAGCTTATAAATAGTCCAACTCACCCTATGTAGTGAGTAGCACGTGATTAAAATTCTTTAATTCACAGTCTGATATATTACGCCCTTCTATATAGATATATATGTATTTGGTGCTGTAGATAATAAGAGCCTCCATAAGTACATTCTCCTGTAATATGGGAGCCAATCCCCATATACATTTACACAAACCAATACACACACACACACACACACATTATATATATATATATACATACATACACACACACATTATATACACACACACACACACACACACATTATATATATATATTTCCTGGCCATATCCATGGCAGCACAACAATGGGTAGCTCCTCCCCTATCCCTAGTTAGACAGGAACCAATTAAAACAAGGGTACAAATACCCCCTCCTACCTCCTCCTCCCTCAGTCTTTTTGTTCCTGTCCTATCCCTGTAGGACCAAATTAGTCTATTTTAGGACTATAATCACTTTTCTTTTATGGCTTACCTGAGGGTTTTTACCTTCTACCCCCAAGGAAGTTCAGCCTCTCTTCCTTGGGAAGCTTCAGTATCCGGCCCTGTGCAAAGGTGTCCCCCTGAAGATACCCCCTTAGTGACCGGGGGTCCTACTTGCAGTGACCCTAGGGGTAGCAAGAGAAAATAAATGCCAAATAATTCTGATTCCCTGCAGTGACCAAGAGGTAGCAGGAAGTGGCGAGAAGACCCTATTCTGGATGGATTTCTACATTGAAGTACAAAACCCCACATGTATGTATGAAAACAGTGAGATCATCTAAACAAATACTTTCTGCATATATTCTGTTAATTACATATGTGTGGGGTTCCCCCCCCTACCTTTGATTGCTTTGTACCTTTCTTTCTCTAACTTTTTGGTGGCTCAAGGTATCACACTAGCCTTCCCGGCGTCCTGGAACTCCTGGGGCGCATGTGCGCCGTTTTCGCGCGTGCCCGCTCGTTCACGGGCACATTAGCTTCGCGTGCACGCCAGTTTCGCGTGCACGCTATGTCCTTGCGCGCGCCTAAACCGGCGCTTGGGTTCCGGCTGCAGCAAGGGTGCCTCCGGCTAGGAGGTTGCTTCCGGGTTTGTGCCGCGCATGCGCAGTTGGCGAGCGGTGAATTCGCTCGTTCTGAGCATGCGCGAATAGGCGGTGACGTCAGATATGACGTCACACGCCTATTTAAGCGCCAAAAGCGTATATAGAGTGTACCTGAGGTTCTTATTAGGACTCTAGAAGTCCTGTTTTCATACATTTTCTACTTTGAATAGCATTTCCTTTGCAAGAAATATTTGAAGGTAAGTTTTACTTCTTAAAGGTATATACACATAATTTTTTTTTTTTTTTTCTTCTCTCACAATTCCCATTTCTTTTCTTTCTATACTAATTAAATTACTTTTCTAGACTATTTCATAATCATCTCCACAATGGAGAAAGACAAAAGGAGATCAATGTCTTCTGATTCGGATTCTTCTGGATATAAAAATAGGTCACACTCTAGGAGTTATAGGTAAGCCATATCATATCATTAATTTTTCTTAACATGGATACATAAAGTAAAAGAGTGCTAATATGAGATATTTCCCTATCATGATAGTTCTACGGGAAAGAAAACAGTGAGATCATCCAAAGGAAAATCTCCAAAGAAAAATCAATGCGAAGCCTGTAATAAAAAACCGCTGGAGGGCAAACGGTTATGTGCAGAATGTTTATCTGAAGCAGCTGGAACATCTAATCCTTCAATGGAATTTGTACAATTCATAAAACAAGCAGTGGCTCAAGATATCAAAGAAGCAGGGGCAAGTCACAAAAGACCCCGGTTACATGAACCTTCGGATTACCAACATCATGATTCGTCAGATGAATCCATGGATATGGAATCATACCAGGGGAATTTCTTATCTTCAGACGAAGAAGAAACTCAGGCCCCTGCAGATTTTCTAGAACCTGCTCAGATAGACCACCTCATTTACAAAGTCCGTAAATCTTTGAGCTTAAGAGAGGCAGTTGCAGAACAGTCAACCTCTTATCGTTATTTCTCAGACTTGAGAAAGAAAAGAGCAACCTTTCCAGTGCATGATACTATTAAGGAATTAATTAAAGACGAATGGTCTAATACAGATAAGAAGCTTTCAGCACAAGGCAGAATTTCTCGCCTCTATCCTTTTGACAAATCTGATTCATACCATTGGGATAATGCCCCTAAGGTGGATGCGGCAGTAGTTCGACTTGCAAAACATACCACATTACCAGTAGATGATGCAGGCTCATTTAGACACCCAATGGACAAGAAGATGGATCTGCATCTCTCAAAGGCTTATGTTGCAGCAGGGACTGGTTTTCACCCTGCAATAGCCCTTACTTCAGTGTCCAGGGCCTTGAAAATCTGGATCGAAAACTTGGAAGAGGATATCAGAGATGGGAGAAACAGATCTTCTCTTCTGGAAAGATTAAATGATATTAAACTGGCCGTTGACTTTACGTCAGAATCTTCGGTAGACATGGTGAAAGCCTTAGCAAGGAATATGGCTCTTTCAATTTCAGCTAGAAGAGCTTTATGGTTGAGATCCTGGTCCGCAGATTCATCATCAAAGTCTAGTCTATGCGCCCTTCCTTTTCATGGTGAGATGTTGTTTGGTAAAAACCTAGACGAGTGCATCAAAAGAGCTGCAGAAGGTAAAAAAGCCTTTCTTCCACAAGACCGGAAAACCCGTGGATCCTTTCGAGCCAGAAGATACTCTGAGTACCCCTCCTTTCGCGATACCAGATCTTATAAACCGGGAAGAGAATATGGAAGGTCTATTCCATGGAGAGGCGGACATTCATCCAACAGAGGAGGAAAGTCTAGAGGTTCCTCATTTCACAAGAAGCCTTTATGACAAACCCACTTACCATTCTGGAGGAGTAGGTGCCCGTCTACTACTTTTCCAGAATATGTGGAAAAATTCA